TGAGGCATGGGGACACCCCCCCCGCACAGCATGCCCTGCCCTGGGAGCCCCCACACCATGGGGACACCAGCACCAGCTCTGCCACACATCCACCTTACCTGCAACCCCCTCATCCCCCCAGTACCCAACATAGCAGATTTTGGACACCCCACCCTACCCAGGGCACCCACCCCAGCTTTTGGGGTGCCAGCATCCCAACAGCCCAGACCTGCTGCAACCCAGTCCCGTGCAGCCCCCAGGGAACTTCAGGGGCCCCCAGCAGCCCCCAGCCCTGGTGGGAACCTGGCACCTTCAAAGCCCTGCCGAGCACCAGCTCATTAATCCCCCAGTAATGACCTCGTTATTCCTAACGAGGCAGAGCGGATCAAGGGAGCTGAGGTAAGAGGATTTTGCAATGGGGGTTTCGGGGCTGGGGGGACACAGGTGGCAGAGGAGGGGAAGACAAAAGGGATGAGGACAGTCACCCCGTCCTGGGGGGCATGAGGTGTGACCTCCCCCATAGCCTGGGCTCCCCCCTTTCAGCAGCTCTGCCCCACACCAGGTACCCAGCCTGATACAGCAGCAGAGAAACCTTAGCAGCCTGCAGCCCAAAAGAGCCTGGCCTGGCTGGCTGCACACCCCCCCACCGAGACCAGGAAGCAGTGGAAAAGCAGGGAGCACCCTGTTAATGTGAGGGGAGAAGACCTCTGCATGAGCCCAACCCTTATACAAGACACCAGAGAATCTCAGCAGAGTGCAAAGCACACCCACCACCTCCACTGCACGCAGACTGCTTTATTTGTCACAGCCAAACCAGCTCGTTCCCCCTCCTCTCCGCCCCTTGGGAGAGCCCCGGCCTCCTAGGACACCTCCTTTTCTGGGAAGAGACACCCCGCACCAGTCTTAGACCCGGGGCCGGAGCCCCTCGGCGGGAAGGGGGCACAGCCCCTTGCACGGCACAGAATCCCCCAGTAATGACCTCGTTATTCCTAACGAGGCAGAGCGGATCAAGGGAGCTGAGGTAAGAGGATTTTGCAATGGGGGTTTCGGGGCTGGGGGGACACAGGTGGCAGAGGAGGGGAAGACAAAAGGGATGAGGACAGTCACCCCGTCCTGGGGGGCATGAGGTGTGACCTCCCCCATAGCCTGGGCTCCCCCCTTTCAGCAGCTCTGCCCCACACCAGGTACCCAGCCTGATACAGCAGCAGAGAAACCTTAGCAGCCTGCAGCCCAAAAGAGCCTGGCCTGGCTGGCTGCACACCCCCCCACCGAGACCAGGAAGCAGTGGAAAAGCAGGGAGCACCCTGTTAATGTGAGGGGAGAAGACCTCTGCATGAGCCCAACCCTTATACAAGACACCAGAGAATCTCAGCAGAGTGCAAAGCACACCCACCACCTCCACTGCACGCAGACTGCTTTATTTGTCACAGCCAAACCAGCTCGTTCCCCCTCCTCTCCGCCCCTTGGGAGAGCCCCGGCCTCCTAGGACACCTCCTTTTCTGGGAAGAGACACCCCGCACCAGTCTTAGACCCGGGGCCGGAGCCCCTCGGCGGGGAGGGGGGACACCGCCTTGCCACGCACAGCTGGGGCTGCGGGGATGCGGCAGCGAGAGGCAGAAGCAGAAAGAGCCAGGGGGGCAGGGGACACCCCCCATGCACCCAAAGCCCCTGGGGACAGGGCAGAGCCAGTAGTGCTGCCCCCCAAAGGGGTCCCCATGTAGGACAGACCCCCACGGATGGAGAAGCCCCTGCGGATGAACAGAGGGACGCATTCAGCCCGGTGGCGCTGGCTCAGTCCCAGCGGACCTTGATGGGGGGGAAGGTCCAGAGGTCAGGGTGGCCCATGTGCAGCAGGGTGCTGCAGGGGGACACACTCCAGCGGAAGGGGGGCACGTCGTCCCAGGCGGGACCGCTGGCGGCCACCAGCCCGAAGGTGGGGGCCATGGCGAAGGACGTGACCTGGTGTTGGGTGGGGGAGAAAAAACAGGGATGCAAGTCAAGATGGGGAAGGGGCAACACAGCCCGGGGAGAGCAGTCGGAAGAGGGTGCACCCCGAAAGAGGGGACCTCCAGCTCCCTCCCAGCCCCCCCTGGGACTGCCCCATCTCTTCCCACCTTCATGTCAGTGCCACCATGGCAGCGCTGGCGCAGAGCCGGGAAGGGGTAGGTGCCGTTGGGGGGGTTGAGGTCAGAGCGGGCGGAGATGGCGTTCTCTGCGTT